CTAGAGGATCCCTCTCACTTGGCCGTGCAACCTTTGCCGCAGCACTTGTACTGCGTTTTTGGACAACGGTGCCCCGTTGACCTGCCGGCTGGCTGTGGCGCCATACAGCATGCCGGTGACGCCACATTTGGCGTGGTTAACCACCATTCCAGACCATTGCAGGAACCTGGTAATCTTGTCGGCCTGGTGCTTCAAGTGGAGCAGGCTATTGGTCATGATGAGCAGATCGTCTGCAAAGGCAGGTGCGCTGCAGGCCTCGGCTGTGGCCTCATCGGGGCGTGAACAACCGTGTTTGTATCCCCTGCCGCCAGAGTGCAGCCAGCGCAACAGGGGTTCGATGAATAGTAGGAACAGAAATGGGGACAGGGAGTCCCCTTGCAGGGTGCCGCGATCAATATCAATCGGGTCTGAGTCTCCAAAAGCTGTCGTGATCATAGTGCGGGCCCCGGTGTACAGCTTTTGCACGGCGAGTACAGCGTGGTGGGGAAAGCCCATGTCCCACATTAGTTGCAACAACTTGTCGTGGTCCACCGTGTCGAATGCAGCGCTGAAGTCGATGTAGAGCATGTAGATGTCGCGGTCAAAGAGTTTGGCGTCCTCTAGCGCGTTCAACACGCTGAAGAGGGCCTGGTGGGTACTGCGGCCATGCCGGAACCCAGCCTGTGAGTCGGTGAGGATAGCGTGACGCTCAGCGTACTCGGAGAGGACTCCGGTGATTAGCGCTGTCCACAGCTTGTAGATAGTGAGTGCCAGGCCGATCGGGCGGTAGTTGGCGGGGTCTGTCGGGTCTCCTTTTTTGTACAACATCACGGTGTTGCTATGCTTCCAAGCGGTGGGTGTATCTCCCGTGAGCCACATTGCCACGAACATCTGGTGGATGCCACGGCGGAGCTGCTCAGGCAGGAATTTCAGGAGCTCATTGGGCACCTCGTCGGGCCCTGGTGCTTTGTTGTTGGCTGCCCTCCTGAGAATGCTCTCAAAGGTTCCGTAGTCCTTAATTCTGGGCAGCAGGTCCTCCCTGCGGCTATGGGGGTCAACCCGGGTGCTCACTTGCATTCTATCCATTGCGTCGGCCGCTTCCCACGGGTACCCTCGTGATCCTGCCACGGGCGCATCAGCGCAGTAGTGTCCCGTTTTTCCAG